GATAGAAACATGGAAATCAAAAATAAATTTAGAAAAGTCTTTCTGACTAAAAGCATAATTTTTACCTCTCATTTACGGGCAATAATTAAACAGGACAGAAAAGTGAGTATTAACCAAATTAGTATGTATTGAAATATAGTCCCATAACACAGAAAGAACTGAGATATTCTGGGAAAATGGAAAAATATATAGACTTGTCCTTTTCTTTGTTACAGCTGTACTTCATGGTTTATAAAGTTCTTAACACACATCTCTCTCCAACTATACAGCAACCTGTAAGGCAACTAAAAATTATCAACATTTTACAGAGAAAACGCTGCTTCAAAATCAAAACACCTGTCAAAAGACCTAACTGCAAGAACATCTATGGCTTCCAGTATCACTACATTAGTAGTTATGTTTTGTATTTATTAAATGGTGGGGAATTGGGGAAGCAGCAGTACTCTTGTTACAAATTAAATCTTCTATTGAACCTGAACTATAGAGCATACAAATATACCAAGCAACTTTAATATTTTTGTAATAAAGTAACAACTATTACTAAATTTTTGTTCTCACACATCAACATTTAATGAAATATGGAAGGAATTCTTTTGAAAAGGCCCTCAAAATCAATGACAGTCTTTCACATTCATGACACAGTAACAAAAAAAATTCAAGTTTCTGTACAAAGATAGAAGAACAAATTGTAATTCAAGACCTGCACAAGAATAATTTTGTAACAAAAGATAATGGTGGTAGACACCAGTGTGTTAAAATTATGTACACCTATTTGGGGGTACCCATATTTTTAAATTACAGTTTTAAAATAAAACACACTTAAAATTTTGAGACAACTCCATCATTTTAAAATCCCAAAGAATCTTAAGAGTCTATACGGAACAGTTTGAATACCATTGCATAACATTTTGTCATCAAGAATTTACTACTTGATCTCTGCTTAGACTACTTCAGATTATCAAGCTGAAAACTGTCTTTGACAATCAAAAATATGTAACACAAGAAAACAGATTAACCAAGGCATAATAGAACTAGTGGTCCACAGATAGAGTGAATACAATCTATTGGCTAAATCACATAAAGTTGCTATTACTTAATTTGGACTATAAAAATGAGGCTCATATGGTTCAATCTAGTATTTTTCATTTTGACAGTATCTTTGTTTATAAAACCATTAAAAAGTTGTGAAATATGATCATATAAGCAGTGAGAAGTATAATAACAATATAAAGATATAGCACTATAGCTATCTTAACATTAAGAAAGTTTAAATGTTAGATCCTGTAAAAACAGAGCACAAAACTATTCATTCAAGTAGCACTAACTGCTCAATACTCAAAAGTACATTGTAATATGCCACTTTTTAATTTACTGGAAGATGAGTGGACTGATAATTACCTCCCTTCCTAAATGTAGTTTGACATATCACTTTTCAAATTAAAGGATTATGTTCTTCTAGTTACCACTAGAATTTCTTCAAGTAAAATATTAAACTTAAAAACTCATTAACTTTACAAAATAATTAGGAGCATTTCCTTTATTAAAAACTTTACGGAACTATCTCATAGACAATGGAGCGAGTTAGACTTAGTAAGAGTTATAGATTTTAGGGTAGTTTTGATGGTTCATTTATTTCTGAATATGGTTTACCTCTCCATTCTTTTTTACTGACCTAAGGTTACCAAATTAGGTACTTTCAATATTTTAGTATGTCTCTTTATTTTGGAGGACACTAAATCAAAACTGTAAAGTGACTTCTAAGAATAAAGGTGATTCTCATAAAATACACAATTCAATATTCAGGCATTGTGTTAACCCAAATTATTTCAATTGAAGGTGAATTCTGTTCCTCTTGAAGTTCCCCTAAAATTCAACACACTGCAACAAATTAAGCCACTTAATTAGAGAAAACACTTTCTGCTACATATAAAGGTGACACTTCTTCCATCATTATACAGAAACATAAAAGCAAAAGTAATTCACACTGGATCAGCATGAGTTTCATTCTTCCATTATGAATTACACTGAACCAACATTCAAAATGCTATGACTCACCTGGCTATACTACTGAATATTAAACAGAAAACAAGATAAATTCAAAGAACCACATTTTATGACTTTTAATTTAGTTTTATCAACAAGAAAAACATGTCTTTATTAGAAATAAACTCTTCATTGCTATTTTAAGAATGATGAAACATTTAAAATGCTACATACTGATTCTCTTAAGAGCACTTAAAAATGGCACTCTTAAAAAGCTGCAAATGTTGCCAAGTCATGTTATAACTGGCTTAAAGAATCCTATTTCCATTAAGTTATTTCATGCCACTGCATGAATCAATATTAAATACCTTGGAGTTACTAAAAACTGGAATACTGGCAGAGATGTGCACAGCAATTATAAAATATGAAAATGTGAATACTCCTTTTCCACATGTTTCTTTTAATAATGGCTAGAAATGGAGATGTTCTTTCTAGGTAAACAGAAATAGTTTATTAAAAGCTAAAGGAAAGATGTAATATCTTAAATGCCAGCAATGTGTCATGGATCCATAGCACAGCTCTCTCAAAAAAAAAAAGTGAAATACATTTTGAAGCCTAATAATACCTTCAAACATTTTATTAGCCTAACAAATTGCCAGAGGCATTTAAAAAATTTTATCCAAGTCAATTCAGTGCTCTTTTTCCTTCTTCAATTAAAAAACTTGCTCTCATTTTAACCAGGCTGCATTTGAATCAAACGTGTCTTAAACACACATTTTTTCATGTCAAAGACGTATCAGTTTTAAAATTAAGAAATAAAATTTTTGAAAGCTAAGTTCAGATGACATCTGGCCCTGCAGTGAAAGAGTTAACATTCAACTAAGCTGATCTGCACTTCTGATCCATTACATTTCTCACAAGCTGCCCTACAATGAGCTGAGCAAGTATCAACTGTAATTTGATCCTAGAGTTTATGGAAAAAAATAACTGCACATACTCAACATGCACATTTAATAAAAATCTGTTTCAAGAGAAACATATCCAATAAACACAATTTAAGGCACATTTAACTGTTCAATTAACGTCAAATCTGCAATCCCTTTACTCTCACGCTCTCAAATAAAATAGGAAGAAAAAAAAAAAAGCAGCAGCCCTACTGCAGGGAAAAGAGGCTTGAAAAACAACTTTGATTGGCACTTGGCCTGACCCACAGAGGAAGAAAAACAGTTTTTGGACAAAGAGCGCAAATATTTGAGCTTGCTTACTTATGTGCTTTTTTTCTTTCTTCCTTTAAAAAAAATGTAGAAAGAACAATCCCAAAGTGAACTGTAATTAGAGAAACTGACTAAAAACGATACCATATTCATCTCCGCTTTCAGTCCCGATGCATTTGCACAGCTCAGCAATTTTAATTCATTTGTAGTGAACAAACTGAAGCATCTCACCTAACGTTTCCACTTAATAAAATGTAAAACTAGAGTTTGAATACGAATAAACTATAATATTACGTTGGGGCAGCTTTTAAAATGTGATTTAAAAAAAAAAAAAACTCTAGAGACCTTTTTTTTAAAATTCCCTTCCCCATCCCTCTCGCCCTTTCCCACGGGGTGATTAAGCCAAGTAAGCTAAACAATACTGGAGTAAACTTTCTATCAGTCACTCTAGGCAGCAGCAATAAACTGAAACCTGATTTTTCTGGTTCAACACCAGGGGAGGAGGGTGCTAAGAAGGAATAACCCACATCCACCTTAGTCTCCTCCTCCCCCAACCCCAGCCTCAGACACTGGCCAGGTCGAATTGCATTTCTCATGGGCATAAAGTTCAAGATGCTTTACTGGTTTCTTTCGAGACTGAACTACAGGCACAGGACCACCATCCAAACAGAAAACAAGGGTGCTGGGCAAGGCGCGCAAGGCAGAAGCAACCGAATAAACAAAAACAACACTCGCAAAGAGGGTCCAGGTTCCTCCGGATCCGACCCGGCTGCTCTGATTTCACACCGACCTCCATCAACAGCTCAACTGCACAGGGAGGAGGATCGAACTGGTCCCTCTCTCCTTCCGCCCAAGGAGCCGACCCGGCATAGCAAGGTAGGGAAACGAGCCGGAAAGGAGACCAAAGGCACCAAAGAAAAAGAAGGGAAGAAAAAATATCCCAACCCCTCCGGACTTGGATAAAAAGCAGAAGCAGTCCAAACCCTCCCGCCCTCAACCCACGCCCCCTTTCTCAGTCCCTGCGGAGAGACGGTGCCCGGGGATACCTCTGGGCCTCCCCCAGTGCGCGCCCGGGGCCGAGCTGCCCAAGCCCCGGCCGGCAGGAAGCGACCCTCGCTGGCAGGACCCAGAGCCGAGCCCGTACCTTCCGCAGCACTTTCCGGCAGTTGGTACAGAGCAGGTAGTTGGCGGCGGCCGACGGGCTGCTGCCGCCCCGGTTCATCGTGGCTGCGGGCTCCGAGGCGAGAGCGGGCGGAGGGCCGGGGCCGGGCTGTCACTGCGGCCACTGAGGGGCCGGTCCGTCCCCCCGCCGCCAGCCGCTATTCCGCCTCAGCCTCCTCAAGGCGGGATGTCGGGAGGAGAGGCGACGGCCGGAAAGCGAGCGGCAGTGCCTGAGGCGACCACCGCGACAGCTGCCCCAGCGACGGCGGAGACGGCGGCGGCTGCACCTCACCGGCCCGTTGTTCCACTCGCCCCCATCCTCCAAACCCCCGCCCCCGCCAGGCTAGGACGAGCAGCCACCACCTCTGCCGCTGCCACCACCGCCGCCGCCGCCGCAGCGCCTCAGTGCAGCCCCGCCTCCGCCGCCCCACCACCTTCACCACCTCCACGCTCTGGTGCCGCCCCTCCCACCAATCGGACAGCTCCGGCTACGCCCCCAGGGCGCTAGCCCGCAGCCAATGAGCAACGAGAGCCGGACTGGAAGTCGCGCCGGCCAATCGCAGGGGCCGAGGACGCCTTGAATCTCCGGGCAAGTTAAGTTTATCTCCGAGGCCCCGAACTGCAGGGAGAAGGCGGTTAGCTAAGTAGCAGGGTAGCTAGGAACAGTTTGTTCTCTTCTGCCAATAAGAGGACGAGGGTGTGTCATATGCAAATGTACCGCCCTCCAAGCCCACCCCCAAGACCAACCACGCCCCCTTCTCTAGGTCCCTGCAGAAATGGTGAGAATGAGATAAATAGTTGGGAGCTAGAGCTCGCTAGAGAGTCTAAGATTGAGCTAAATATTTCCTGATCTCTCGGGAAAGGGGGAGGGGCGGAGGAATTAAATGTTCCTTCAGGGCAGTGATTAGGCTTTCTGTCCACCAAAATCTAACTTTAGCCGTGAAAAAGACTGCAGTTGTGTAGCACTTTGTATCCAGGGATCTCAAAGAACTTTATGCATCATTTATGGTGAACCTTGTTCTGCAAAGACTTCAGTTACTTGAGGCTTGGGAGGTGGATGGGGGATAAATGTCTGAGTTGTATGTATATTTATGCAAGTAATCGAGTTTAAGGGGAGAAACACAAAACCTCTGGTTTAGCGGTTTTCTCCTCTGTGTATAGAAGCACCTTCTCGCAGTTATCTTAAGAGATGGAAGTTTCTTTACTTGTCCAGCACGAAAAAACCACAGGGTCTTGTTTTCTCGCCCAAAAGTCCTTCCTGAGGCAGCTGTTCGGCTACATGCAGAACAGAGCCCTGCTCAGAAAGAAAGGTTCAGAGAACAAATTGCCTTTTAAAACTATTAGACCAAACCTGCCTCTTCCAAAGCTAAAAATTGTGAGTCAGGGTTTTCGCGTCCACGTTATGCGGAGAGAAGGCAGACGTGACTGTGGAAAGCTCAGGCTGACCGAGTGTTGGGGGGTAGACGGGCAGTGGAGCCAGGTCTCCCGAAGTGGTAGCAATGCGCGTGCGAGTCGAATGCGGGTTCCCGATGCTGGACGCCCGCAACCTGCTCCCGAGTGAGAACAAAGGCAGGCGCAGAGTGAAAACCTGATTGGTGCCGGGTTCTCACTCGTGTGCTCCCGGCCTCAGAGATAACTTGCATCGCCTACTACGGAGCTGTGCTCACTGGAGCCCAGCTCCCCACTCGGCCATGGCCGTGGCCACAGGACTATGCATTATGACATCACCTGTTTTCGATTTTTAGAACCTAATCAGCATTCTAGGCTTCTCCTCTTTTAAAGGTCTCTAGTGTACCAGGATTTGTGAAGGCTTGCAGTTCGTAGAATGAAATCTGTGTGGAGATGATTTAAAAGAACAGTTTCACTGGTTTGCATTTCTTTCTTTTCTTTTTAATTTTTTAAAAAAACACCCTCGTTTCCTTAGGGATTCAGGGTGGTGTTATGCAAAATGGGAAAGGTACACTTGGAGGAGCTAGCAAGTTTAGCATATCAAAGCTATTAGACCAAATTGTGCGGTTAAAACTGCCAATCTTATTTCTCAACAGCTGTCTCCTCTGTCCCTTTTTAGAGACCAACACATATAAACCAAGTCTACACAAGGAACAAAGGAAATGGAAATCTGCTGGTGTCAGGTTTAAATAGATTAAAATAGAGTAGAAAACCCCAAAAGAGTCTAAGTTATGTAGTTGGGTAAAGGTGTTGATCTATTTAGCCAGTGTTGGCTAAAGGTCACTTGATGCTGTGTAGACATATGTAACCTAAATAGCAATAGTGTGGGGAAAGTGCTTAAGATTCAGTTAGAAGAAACTAAAAGCAACCGAATTCAGAAAAGGAAGGAATTACCACACGCCCTTCAATACAGAGAACCAAGAAATCTAAGGAGAAAGTCAGCAAGGCACAGTTTTTCTAAGAAACACATATGTGTCCCCATTTAGTGGTAAATTTCTTGGGCTATATTCTTGGCTGGTTCTGTCTTTTAAAGCAGATTTTTATGTTAGTACATTTTAAAGGAAAGGAGAAATTGAAGGATGAAGTGAATTTTTGTGCAGATTGAATTTTCTCAAATAGTATTTTAAATTCATATTGTTTTCTAGCACATTCTTCTTATAACCTTTTCTTTTTTCACTTGACAGCTAAAAATCCTTTCAAAATGAAATCCTTTAAGTTCTTTAGTAACTCAGTCCCCCAGAAAGTAAAGCCAAGAGAATCTAGCCCTATACAATAACACCCCCTAACAAAAATTGCTAACAGGAGATTTTAGAGGATGAATATCTTCAATAATATATGGTCACATACGTGTATGTGACCATATGATGGCTCTCTCCACCAAATTCCTCCAAACTATTATAATATGTACTGTCTATAGTGCTATTTATTTAGCAGTTAATCATGTATTGCATTGTGACATTTCTTATACTGCACCATCATATATGTGTTTATGTACTGCCCTCAACCACTCAATGACAGCTCCTTATTCTTAACACAGCAGCCACCCTTTCTGGTCTGTCTCACACACTCGCTGCCATCACACTGGTTCTCCTCTCCCATGGAAATGTCCAGTTTTGGATGTCTCCTTTCTCTTCCATTCTTCACCTGGTTTTTCTTCCTTTCCTAGCCAGCTGAATACCATAAAGAGAATGTGATTTGCAAACCCGGGAGGGAAGGAAACAAAAGCCAGTTCTTTTTTTTTACATAGAACAAGGAGAAACTCCACCCTTTTGTTGTCTGGTATGTCTCAAATGAGAAAGAACTTTAGAAAAGTAGGATATGAGTGAAAATTACAACAAATATTAAGAACTACTTTTTAATTTTTTTAACAAAAGTTTATTCTTAAATATACAACAACTCCAAGACAACATTTAATTCCAGCTATCGGTGGCAAAAGATATTATGGCAGGGAATACAGATGTTTAAATACAGATGAAGTAAAGGACCACCATCTTCTCAGGGACAAGGAACAGCTTACTTTTTGCCAGACGTCTTAATTCCACCTGTGGCCAGGAGCCCCTGCCCCTTGGCCTTCGCTTTTAGCTCCTCAAGTTTCTTCTGCTCTTCTCTTTGTTTCTGCTTGAAAGCCTTATCTTCCTCATCCATCTCCTTGGCCTGCTTCTTGGGCTGTTTCAGGGGCTTCTTGCCACCTTCCTGGACGGACATGGCACCTGCCACCCCTTCCTCAGACCCTGCCACTGGACTACTTTTTAATTCTTTTATTACAAAATTAGGATGATACTTCATTAAACATTGCATATCATTTCAAAGCTGTTATAATCATTTTGCTTACTTTGAAATATTCTTTTAAAATATGATTTTTTTAAAACAAGGAATCCATAAAATCACATAGCTTGGATGTACCATAACTTACTTAATTCTTATGCTACTGTTGAATGTGTAGGTTGTTTCAGGTTTTTCATGACTGTAAATAATGAAATAAACTTACTGATATGTAAGTTTCTGGTAGCATCTCTGATTCCTAGGCCTGGAATTTCTGAGTAAAGGGATATACATATGTCTTCAGGCTCCTGGTGCAACTTGCTAAAATATTTTGTGGAAAGATTTGAATAAAAACACAGGTGAGAGCAATCATTTGAAAGCTATAATTCTGCATAAGGCCCCTCAGTATTCCACATACCTCTACCTTTAATCCGTTTCCTTTCTTCCTTCTGCCTGGGGAATATCTTCTCTTGTTGAAACATTTGCTGAATGAGGCACTTGTCCAAGTGACCGTAGTGCCCCTCTATACCTCTTCTTTACCAAAAAGCTCACTATGGAAATGATAGATTTAAATCCTGTTTTCTCATTAGACTTCAAACCCCTTGAAGGCAGGATAAAGTAACATTTACTTTGTATCCTTGGCTCCTAGCTCACTCTATATGGAAGTGCTCAAAAAAATATTGGAGAAAGTAATGAGTTTCACTCTTTAAGTGACCCAATAAGTGTGAATTGAATTGTTCACAAAAATCTGCTACTTTGAAGCAGAGAGTTTAGGTTCCTCTTCTTATCTCTCACCAATTCTTCTCTGACATTGAACATATTAACTATTACGGGTTGGGCATCATTCTCTCTTTTATAAAATGAAAGTTGTTGCCTACAAATCAGAGGCGTAGGAGGGATGAAGGAAAACTTCTGGGTTCAGCACTTTTGAAAGAAGTTACACTGTTATTAATATGCTGTGACTTTTGGACTTGAAATTGTTTACTACTTTAGATATTCTCACTCTATTGACCGAAGAACTGAGATGGTCTATAGTTTCTAGATAACGAGTTAATTGAGAAAAATCAATTACTAAAGATATTTTTTAAATTCCATATCTTGGGACAATAAGTCATTTTCTAACATTCTGCCTCTTCCGGCTTCTTTTTCTTTCTCATGGGGTCACCTGAAGCATTTGGATTGCTTGGAAAGTGCTGCATTATTTACACATTTACAAATACTGTAATTTCTTTCTTGCACAAAGGAATTTACAGTTCACACAATTGTAAATTGATTGCTCCCTTAGAGCTGTTAATTAGATTCCTGCTATATTTTTCGTAAGGCTCAAGACCAATACTACTCCAAAGGAAAAATAAGAGGATCTGTTCCCAAAAAGACCACTACTTTAGTTCCCAACTTATTTCACCTCTTCAATCACCCACCTCCACTAAGATTATTCTTATCAAAGCTCGTTTTTCAAAAAAACAAATATTCCACCAGGACCCAGATTCCTGTCAGCTTTCTTTCTAACCTTTCAGATCAGAGTTTTCTGTATTTAACCTCCGTATAAAGCAGTCTACAAAAGGCCTACAAATGTGAAGGGTGTGGTTTATTTGTTTGGCTTATACAATGTCAGCCACCATGATGCTTTTTAAAAATTTTTTGAATTGCTTTCAAATATTCACAATTTAGGATTTTTTTACACCAAAAATCTAGATTTCCAGTTTCTTTAGAAAAATTATCAGATCTGATCACACTGGGCTTATTTTCCCACATGGCAACCATCTGTCGAGCTCCATACCTGCTATTTGATTTGGACTAAAGTCCCTGCCAATCCCTAGGGGTTAAATTTTTCCCACTTTATTTCTATTATCTTCTCACCCTTTGTAGGGATTTGAATATGCAACCTCCATAAACCTTCTCCAGTATCTAAATTACTGATCTGTTAGTTATCACTGTTAACTTTATCAGAGAACATTAATTAAAAATAAATTTGTCATCTCTTTACTATAACAAAAGCTAAGGAAATATGCAAGCAATATTGTGATGTATGATGTATACCCTGAAAAAAAAATATGTATACTGATATGGTTTGGCTATGTCCCCACCCAAATCTCAACTTGAATTATATCTCCCAGAGATCCCATGTGTTGTGGTAGGGACCCAGGGGGTATAATTGGATCATGGGAGCTAGTCTTCCCCATGCTATTCTTGAGATAGTGAATAAGTCTTATGAGATCTGATGTGTTTATCAGGGGTTTCCTCTTTTGCTTTTTCTCCATCTTTCTCTTGCTTCCACAATGTAAGAAGTGCCTTTTGCCTCCTGCCATGATTCTGAGGCCTCCCTAGCCATGTAGAACTGTAAGTCCAATTAAACCATTTTGTTCCCAGTTTTGGGTATGTCTTTATGAGCAGTGTGAAAATGAATGAATATATATATACACACACACACACACATATATATACACTATATATATATATCACAATGGGGAGGAAAATTATCTAACTAAGAAGGAACTACTATGTCCTTTATGTTGCTAACTCCACTTCTTATCCTTATTCTGCTCAAATCGCTATTCTAATTGTTGCTTTAGAATAAAGGAACCACAGGGAATGTGGTAATATTGAAAGAGCAAGGAAGCCAGGCCTGATGCATTGAGAGTGTTTTATTTGATGGGCAATCACATAGAGGCTAGCAGCCTGGCTCTAGAGTTAGACATCAATTTGAATATTGACTTTGCCTCTTACTAAGTGTATGACCTTGGGCAAATTACTAAATTTTTCTATGTTTTCAATCTCCTCATCTGTAAAATGGAGTAACAATGCTACCTAACTCAAAGGGTAATTGTAAAGATGGAGTGAAATAATGCATTACAGTGCTCAGCAAAGTGACTGAAACATTGTAAGCCCTAAATAAGTGCTTGCTGTGATCTGACATGATATAAAGGATGTTATAGTCTCCACATACTGTGTGACCTTGGTCTAGTTACTGAACTTTTCTGCATCTCAATGTTTGTCATCTGCAGAAATGAAGATATTAAGATTAGCCTTGCATTAGAGTTTTTTGAAGATTAAACGAATTCTACATAAAGCACTTTAAAACAATGCATAGCTTAAAATAAATACCATGTAAGTTATATTATTATATACCATTGTCAGGAGTCTTTTTTGTTATTTTTTATTTTTTGAGACATAGTTTCACTCTTGTTGCCCAGGCTGAAGTGCAATGGCACAATCTCAGCTTACCACAACCTTCACCTTCCAGCTTCAAGCGATTCTGCTGCCTCAGCCTCCTGAGTAGCTGGGAGTACAGGCATGCACCACCATACCTGGCTAATTTTGTATTTTTAGTAGAGATGTGGTTTCTCCATGTTGGTCAGACTGGTCTCGAACTCCTGACCTCAGGTGATCCTCCCGCCTCAGCCTCCTGAAGTACTGGGATTATAGATGTGAGCCACCGCTCCTGGCCCAGGAGATTTTTTTTTATTTGCCGTTTTCTTTTTTCCAGTGAAGATCTTTGATTTTGGGATACTTGTCTCAAAAGTAAGATAATATAAGGTAGTAGAAATAGCACTGTACAGAATGTCAAGAGACCTAGGGTTTAGTTCAGTAATGCTGTGAACTATGTGATATTAGACCTCATCTTCCCTATCTATTAAATGTGGAAGGGGGATTAAATTGTGTCAAAGCAGATCAGGTTTTGTGGGGAACAAAACTTATATGCTATAGGAACCTTCTTTGAAAAAGGAATGTAAAATCTTGGCTGCAAAATTATTAATAGTTATGAAACTGAATACTCACTTAAAATTAGAAATAAAATCACAATACATTTTTAAAAGATGAACAAATACTATAAAATCACAGAATCCAGGTAAATAATATATTTTTATTAACTGCCTGACACAACCCTATATTACTTTTTCCCTTCATCTTTTGGGCTGTATATTCCAATTTCCTCTTCATATGTTAATGACTTTTTTCTTTTCTTTTCTGGACGAGGTCTTGCTCTGTCACCCAGGCTGAAGTGCAGTGATGCAACCTTGGCTCACTACAACCTCTGCCTCCTGGGATCAAGCAATTTTCCTGCCTCAGCCTCCCGAGTAGCTAAGACTCCAAGTGCATGTCACCATACCCGGCTAATTTTTGTATTTTTTTAGTAGAGATAGGATTTTACCATATTGGCCTGGCTGGTCTTGAACTCCTGAACTCAGATGATCCACCAGCCTCAGCCTCCCAAAGTGCTGGGATTACAGGTGTGAGCTACCTTGCCTGGCCTATTAATGATTTTTGTAATACTATCTTTTTGAGAGGGAATGGAAAGATAATTCAGTCTTTCCCCTAGCACACATTCCCAGTGCTGTGTCCTAGGACATATGTGTGTCACGAAATACTCTGTAATCTTACATCTTTGTGATATCATGTCTGGTGAATTGGCCCAGTGGGCAGTGGGAGTGTTCCTAGGACCCATTCTTTTATTGGGACCACTGGAAATAACAACCGTACCTAAAATGACTCTGACACCCATAAATTTAATTCACTAAACTCAAGCTAAAGGTATATCCATCTCAACTTCCCCTTAGCCAGATCAACAGTGATACCCACAGCTTCTCCAATGCCTCCAGCATGAGGGAGACTGTGAAGGATGGAAATTGGAATACAAAGAAACTGTGGTCTTTACGAGTAGTGGTTGTAATAGCTTACCTTTGGAATGTTTTTAAAAGTATGACCATGTGAGTAAATTGCTTGGACCTCTCCCAGGGCCTCAAAGGGGCCAATGCTAGTGAGAGACCCTAAAGTTTAAACTTTATTAAATGCACGATTAATCCATGTCTGAGTAGAGAATTTCAAAGACCTCTTTAAACTCCATAATTTTGTGAATTTGTTTTGTCTTAGTATATTTTAAAGAGAATCTAGTGGAAACAGTGTATAGGAGAAGTAGAAGAATTTTTTCAAGTAGGCAGGGAAAAAGTAAAAGCAGCTC